AAGTAACCCTCAGTTAACAATGGTAATTGGAAACAGAATTATTGTCACTAAGCAATGTAGACATGAAATGTTGCAGGACTGCATTCAGAAATCCTGGAAGTCCCTGTTGTCTCATTTACTGAATTCCACCAGTCATTAGGTGAGAATCCACCCCGATTCAAGCCATTCCCAGGTTGATCGCTCATAGCCTGCAGCCTCAGTAAGGTAAAGGACTGCCTCTTCTAGAACTACCCACATTTCTGCTCTTTTGGTCACTCTGCACAGCTGGACTCCTCTGCATAGAGCACTCCTCTACTTCAGCCTGTGCTCCACCAACCTGCCACACCCACCTGACCTTCACCGTCTTCTTCCTTCCACTGCTGATGAGACATGTCTAGCCTGGCCCTATGAAAGACACCTTCTTCCCAAGACCGTGCAAGACTTTTTTCAAATCGTGTGTGCTGTTCTCATTACTCTTCAAAGGCTGAGATTTTCTGATACCTCACTGGGTTATATCCCTCTTTCTACAAATGACACACACTGTTCTCCAAATTGTGTGCCCCGTTCTTGCATCTTTCTCACAATTTAGAGAAAGGTGCATGCAGCCTTCTTGCAAAGCTTTGGAAGGCCTTAAAGCTTTCCTATGGAGCTGAAGAATGTGGTGTCGCAATTGGAGAACAGCGTGCCCAGCCTCAGGAAGAAGACAATCAGATCTACTTTGCTTAGGGCCAAACTGGTCATGCCTTGTCAGGAGTGGGAAGAAGATGATAGCAAATGTCAGTGGAATACAGACTGGCTGGCTGTGCTGCAGTGCTTGAGGTGGTATTTCTTGGTGGCAGTGGTGATGCTGGGGCTGAAGTAGTGTGACAGTAATGATGCCACCTCTGTCAAGGAGTGCTGCTGAAGAAGCCTCTTGGATGAGAAGTTAAACACTGTCAAAGAAAAAAAACCAAGAAAGTACGGTTGCCTTTTAGAAAAAGGCATAATACACCCCAATATGTTTAACATGGGAAACATTATAAGATATAAAGACTTCTTAACAGATATGGGGGAGTTGAAAACCAAACAACAATTAGAGGAACAAGGAATAAAGATGGATTGGTACATGAGAACGCAAATACAATCTAGATATGAAAAAGATGTTAAAATAGATGGTGTTAATTTGGGGACAACAGAGTTAGATGAAATACTCACAGGAACGGAAGAAAAATGGATTAAAAAATGTACAGTTATCTACTACATATGGAGTTAGAGAAGGAACAAGTGAAAGAGACAATGATAAAATGGACAAGGAATTTTGGATATACAGTTGAATTATATAGATGGCAGCAATTATGGGAAAGAAACTATAAATTGACAATGGCGACTGCGTATGAAGAAAATATGTACAAAATGTTTTACAGATGGCACATGTCTCCTGAAAGATTAGCTAAAATGTTTAAGGACAGGTCTATGAAATGTTGGAAATGTCATCAGATACCGGGTTCCTTCTACCATATGTGGTGGACGTGTGTAGAAGCTAAAACTTATTGGAATATAATTAGAACATGGATAGAAAAGATGATACAACAACGTATAGAACTAAGACCAGAAATATTCCTGTTGGATATTCTACCAGAGAAATACAATAAAGAAAAAACATATTTAATTATTCATGTAATTACGGCAGCCAGGATTGTGTTTGCACAAAATTGGAAAGCACTGAAAGCCCCCCCAGAGGGAGAGGTGATTGGAAAAATACTGGAATGTGCAGAAATGAATAGACTAACAATGACAATTAAAGATAAGACAGAGTCAGACTACTATGAAATTTGGGGAATTTTTTATGATTGGCTGAAAAGAGAATACAATTAAAAGATAGTTAACATCAATTTAGATGGAAGAAGAAGGAGCAGATAAGGAGGGAGACCCAGGCGACACAGTATTGAATAACTGGAGGTTGTATAAATGTTTATAAAAGTATATACCGAGAAGGTTAGATAAATAGAAGTATTAATGTTATTGTATATAATACAGATAGGGAAATTTGGAGAGAGGAGTTGCTCGGACATTACCCCTGAATTGTATCTGAAGAGGGATGAGAGGGAAGAAAGGAGAGGAGAGAGAAAAGAGTAAAGGAGGGGAGAAGGAAGTAGGAAGGTTGGAGGAAGAGGAAAGGGGAGGAGAGTGGTGAAGGAGAGGAGAGGAAGAAGAGGGAAGTAGGGAAGAGAAGAAAGGGAGAAAGAAGGTAAAGAAGGAGTGTGGATACGGTGAAAGGGGAAATGGGCGAGCAACACCAAAGTTATGTGTATGTATTTATTTCATTTTGTTAAAAGTATCTGTATGTGAGTGCGGAGGGAATGTATGTTAATATCTGATAAGTATTATGGTATATGTATGGGGGAGAGTTTGGAAAAATAAAAAATTATTAAATAGAAAAAAAACCAAGAAAGTACGGTTGCCTTTTAGAAAAAGCACCTTTGGAACTGCAACCTGAACCTTATGCTATTCAAAGTATAGGTAGAAAAGAAACATGCATTGTCATTATACAATTCACACATTTATTAAACAATGAAATCATACTAACTGCACTTTATGTCACTAAACTGTGGATAAAGCAGACAGGGATAGATGAGAGAAGGTTCCTGCATTATTATGCCAGTTGCAAAAATTCACATTAACAGCATAATAAAGGCTCAATCAAAGATTCAATAGTCTATAAAGACATTCAAATTTATGAGCTGTAAATACAAGGTTTGATTCAAAAGGTTTGTTCCTATCAAGATTTATCATCACACAGTTAGAGAAACCTTTTCGCGTGGTATGAACACACAATACAAATTTACAGCAAGCTGAAAGTAATTTGTACAAACTAAAGGATTTTGACAAGTGGCAATGAGGAACACAAAAATAATGCACATCTCACTAAGTGTAAACAAAGTTATTATGTGATTTTGGTACTGTTAGGAAAAAATATGATAAATAAAGCCAAATCTGAATATGTTTAAATAAAAAGACAGCCTGAAGTACACAATGAACTAACTTTTCTTACCAAGTTCCTTAGAATGAGACTAGGCAAATTAGGAATTAGGTACATGGAATAACAACCCCATTATTCCTGATTACTGGTTATGAAGTTAAAACTAATAGAAGCTATAAGTGAAATTTCTGGAAGGAATTGGGGAAGAGTTCTCTTGTTTTAGTCTGATATAGAGCGCTCCATATATATTCAACCACTACCTCTAGAATTTCCATTTAGTATGATTTTGAGAATTGTCGAACATACCAAAAGGCCACCAGATGAAGGAAGCTACTCTATAGTACACAAACTGCTCGAAAAATTCCCTATAGATTTATTTAAACATTTATAAGGGGTGGTATGCACCTGAGCCTCAGATCTGGAGCTTTTGAAGATCAAAAGGCACCTTTAATAAGGGTGAGGGTGTGGAGCAGGGACAGGAGTGTAAAAAGTGATGATAAAAGCATACAACACTTGTCATGGAATGTCACAAAAATGAGAAGGAAATTAATGGCTGCAGAGAACAACAGGTACCATGTACTGATTCTGAAAGAGGAATCAAGAAGCAAGCACAGCTATTACACTGCACACTTCATTAAGATAGAATTTCTGCATCTGCAGTCAGCTAATCTATCAATATGTCTGGTTCAAATTAGATATATAAAAAAGAGGTGAGCAATTTTTAGTCCCAGCACTACATATAGTCCTCAGCCCTGTTTGTGTGTGCATGTGCAGGAAACCTGACAACTCTTGCTAAAATTGTAAATATAATTTCTCACAATTCTGAAAGGAGGAAACACATAAAAACATGCAATGATACTTTATTTACAATACTGGCTTGTCTGCTGCCCTTTATTCTCTAGAAATATTATGTTTCAATGTCTCTGATTACAAGAATATTGTAACATCATTTTGGCTCAGCCTACAAATCTATATACTCCAGCATTCTGTTTTTTTTCCTCTGGACAACCCAATACTTTAATGAGGCTCAAATTAGATTTCTATTTCTTTGTAGAAGGTGTAGGGTACCTCTATGTACAACTGGAAAGCCATAATGAATTATAAGCAATCCCTAGCAGATCATGATAAAATAGCAGACAATAAAATTACTATTATTTTTATTTATTACATTTATATGCCACCCATCTCCCCTATAAGCCAATTCTGGGCAGCTTACAAATCATAAAAAGATAAATGGAAAAGCAATTAAATTATTATAAGTATGCAAATTAAAAATTTAAAACTATACAAAAAACCGGGACCAAGAGACGTATGGCAAGGGGATATCTTCTAACCTCATCAACCACCTCCAGTGGTGAGCACCTCCCTTGGGGCCCCATGTCAACTGGCCAAACCAAGTTTTAATCCCCTTCAGGAAGGCCAAAAAGGTGGGAGCAGTTCTCACCTCCAATGGTAAAGTGTTCCACTAAGATGGGGCCACAGTGCAAATACTAAATACTCTACCAACCAACCTCAAAGCTATATGACAACCTACAAATATCCCAGAGATATTCATGAGTCTTCAGACTATAAGGGCATGTATACAGAAGGACAGCGAAACACAGAAAATGTGAAGTACAAGGCACTGGTAATGTTACCTGGTTGGGCAATGAAAAGTCTGCAAGCAAACAATCAAGCTGAAATAACATCAAAAACTTCTCAGTTCAATCCTGAGTGACATGCTGAATATTGTCTTCTTTTAGAACGAATTCTTTCCTTACTAGGGTTTTAATCATTTTCAGGGCATGAAGAAAACCACATTTTATTCATTATATGAAAACCACATATGTACAGTGTAAGCCAACAAATCTATTTTGAAAAGAATAAACACCAGCAATTAATGAAAACATGTCAAATAAAAAGAAAATCTGTGGGACTAATTAAAAAACTGCAACATTTCTAAATACTACAAAATGCAAACACTAGTGCCCTGAAAAACCCACAATTAATGTTCACAAACTTTTTCAGTATCGTAATTCGGTGATTATTCAAATGAATAATTTACCAATAAATTTATACTTACTATGGTCTCGGTCTTTAGTCAAGATACATTCTTTTATAGATTCTGTTATTCCAAGACTGGCTGCAGTAGGAAGAGGTCCAAGAAGTGATTCCAGAGGAGATGGCCTTACAGCAATTTCTTTTTCTTTTGATCGATCTTTATCAAGAAGTTCATTATAAAAGTCCATGTTCAGATGACTTGCAGCTGCTGCCAGTTCTTCATCTTCTCCATCCTCATCTCCAAATATACTTGAAATGGTATCTTCTATGCAATCTTTAATGATAGAGGATCAAATGTTATCAGATATGATAAAATTAAAAGTGCCTGAGTTTCTTAAGATTCCCAAGATTATTTTTTCTACCTTTCAACAGTTTGTTATCTGTGCTTGTCAAAGGATCAAAGTCATATCTTCAGAAAGCCAAAAGGTCTAGCTCATTTCTTCTGCACATTAATGTGTGTAATCTCTATGCAGCACATAAGCAAACATATGAATTTTCCCCTCCAAATTAGTAAATTGTGTCCAACTGTGTTTTAACATTATTTCATATTCCAGTTATAAACTGATCATTTCTCTTTAAAATGTTTGACACCTATTTTTATGAAACTCTATCAAATATAGTAATATATTCATAATATTTAACAAATTGTGTAATATCACATACAATGTCAGTATGCATTTCATCCTGGAAAGGAGTAATCCATGAGGGGCTCCCTGAAATGATGTCCTTGCTGCAGACAGTTCATTACTTTATGTAGCTTAAACAAGTGGCCCCCAACCTTTTGGGCACCACCGGAGGGGTCGTGGTTTCATGTACTGCCTGCATCTCACAGATGGGGCTTCACTTGTTTGCACAGCCTGGTTTCTGGCATGCTGCAGCCCAGTGCCAGTCCACAGTCTGGGGGTTGGGGACCTCTGGCTTAAAGTGGTACATTTACTCACATGTCTAGGAGTGGGTTCAAATTAGACCAATTTTCCAATTACGATTAGAAAAAATCAGAGAATAACAACTGTAGAATACTGAAATCTCCTGAGAGTTCAATTATAGTGGATTTTAAGCAAAATCACTGAGATATGAGTCAGGCTTGACATCACTTGAGCAATACTAAATTGTTTGTTTGTTTGACTGATTGATTTTTATCGCTTTATTTTTTTATAAATAACACAGGGCAGAGAACCTATTTATACTCATTTCTCCTTCTATTTTTCCCACAACAATAAATCTATGAAGTGGATTGGGCTGAGAGTAGCTGATCCAAAATTACCCAGCTTTCATGCCTAAGGCGGAACTAGAATGCAGTCTTCTGATTTCTAGCCTGATGCTTTACCCACTAAACTAAACTGCTACCCAGCTATCCAGCATACTATCTAATAATGTAATTAACATGGATATATTTCATGCCAATGATTAGTTCCTTCAAAAAAGTAACAATTAATTACCTTTTCCTTGGTGGGACCTCTATTTTGGAATTGCCACTTGAGTTTGCGTTGGCTTCTCCTTATTAAGTCTGGGGTCTCAAAATGTACCTTTTCACTCAGGATCTTGCTTTTACGTTCTGTTGAAGTATATCCACCTATCTCAATAGGCTTCTGGATGCTACTAACCACTTCATCATCACTTAATATTAAACGGGCAGGGGACTTTTTATAGCTATCAGCCAAACTTTTCTTGTTTTCAATTTAGCTTCCAAGATCCACAAAAGACATTCAGTGATAGCACTAGAAGGTCAGGAGCTGGGCAGGCTGGAGTAGTGGTACATTTAAACTTATCCTCGCAATAGGAAAGAGTCATCTGTAGAGCTGACACTTTCATCAAAATGGTAATTAGTGCCAGGAGTTGCAATACTATTTCTCCTTTGAAGATATAGACAGAGTCCCAGAGTTGAATGAACTCATGATAATGGGCACGGAGCCTGCTTTATGAACATGACTGATGTTATTAGGAATTAATTCTTCTACATCTTGTATCTGAATTATTGCACTTCGATAATGAAGTACTATTCCAAGAATTGAAATCTAAAACATGTAGTAGGGGCCATCAAAAAAATAAGATTCAGCAATTGATTGTGAATTTAATTGTGCATAGTTTTAGCTCTCACTGATAGCCTCCCTCACCCTGATTACTATTATTGCTAAAATAATAAAAAAGAAGGAAGAGCAACAGCCCTACCACTGAGCCAAGATCAGTTCGCAAGACTCACCCCATATAAAAATATGAACAACTTTGGAAAATAGGAAAAACACAATTTAACAGTATCAGAAAGGAATTGTAACTTCATATTATATGCATAAATTTCAGAAACCTTGAAGGATTTAGTATGGCTCTGTATACAACAACACAGAATATGTATTGGGGGAAAATCTTATTAATAGCATTATTAAGAACAGTCTTAATAAACCAAGTATGTATTTAGTTGATACATTATATGAAAATATTAAAACAATACCAAAACAGCATATAGAGACAACTGCTAATAACTTCAAAAACCTAAATAACAAGAGACTGGCTTTAAGTCTTTCCTGACACTCAAAGACACATGGAGTGGTTGACAGTGATCTGGCTATTTTTATATCATTGCATGTTATAAGTCATAATAAGGATGAGAAAGCATATAAAGGTAGAATAAACCTAAAATACAATAAACCTAAAACAGAGCTGAAGGAGGCATCTTCAACGAACAGGCAGGCAGGCAGGCAGGCAATTACTAGAACAGCAGCTGAAGTAGAGTTTGGATTCAGAGGTTAGGGTCAACTCAACTCAAATTAAAGGTAGACCTTGAGATTTGATAGTAATTGGGACTGGAACTTCTATTCCTAAGCAATATATATGTGATGGGTGATGTCAGGTGACACACCACTTAGCAATGACAATCCCGGCATCCCTATTGCCATCATTAACCAGATTCAGGCTTGGTCCCTTCCAGCTCTGAGCCTACCGTCCCTTCAACTCTTCCCAACTGCCTATTCCCACTCCATCTCTACCCTTTTCTCGGTGCTGCACCCTGCCTTGCAGGAGGGCAAGCAGACCTAGAATTACACAGCTCTGGGGCATGCCAGGCTGTACTCAGGGACTTCTTAGTGTGCTTCAACTCTGCACTTACAAGCCACAGCCACTCCAGCCCAGCAGCATAACAGGGTATGAGGTTGCAGCCACCCCAGGAAACGGGGTGATCCCAACAGCGATCCCAACAGCAAAGCTTGGATACCCCAGCCTAATCTCAGCTGCTCTCACCACCTTGCACTCTGAGACACCTGCAGCTCTGTGCTCTCCCTCCCCATCTGTCTTCTTGTTCCTGCTGCTGACAAGGTGTGCCCATGCTGGCTCTTCATGAGACAGTTACTGACCATATAAAGTCATCGTGAGGAAACTGCCATGCACAATGAGGTAAAAAGCCTCATGCAAGGGGCCAGGCTGTGCATGAGGAGACAGCAAAGGGCTACAGGTGATGTAGAGGTGAGCCAAAAGGACATAAATGGGGAGGGGAGATAGATGGAGGGGGGAAGCAGCTAAAGGGCAATCATAAGTGCAGGCAAGCTGCCAAGTGCCCAAATTTTAATCAAATGACTGTAGGAGCACTGCAATGGCTGTAACTTTGAGAAAAGGCTATAAGTTCCTTTTGTTCAGCGCTGCTGTAAGTTCAACCAATCACTGAATAAATGGTTTTAAATCAAGGACCTCCTATAATAAAATAATACACAGATATTTTCCCCCAATGTTCTGTTAAACTGAAGTACTTTTTGCAATAAATAAGATAATACACTATTCTCTTAAATGTTATAATTTCATACAAAAGTATTTACACAGTGTAGCTCAAGTGATTTTCCCAAGTAGCTGCTCAAGGAGTTGGCATTCAGCCATTTAAAACTCACTACATGCCTCCACCATTTTCAGCTTTCCAAAAGTCATTGTTTCTGTTGGACAATAACAATCTCTGGATCCAAAGTATTTTCATCCAGAAGTCTCCTGGATAATAGCATGGTCTGATCAGCTGAACTATAGAAAATAGAAATCTTGGCATTTGATTTTTTATTCACTTATTTTATTTATTTTTAAATTGTGAAATCAAACATTGTATTGCCACAATCACGCTTTTTAAAGTGTTTGTTAATATGCAAAGCTGAGGCTCAGGACAAAAATGAAGTTATTTATATATCATACTTGCATAATTCCATAGCTTCATAGCTGCAGCACCATGCCCTCACCAACTCATATGCCTTCCCTGTCCTTTCCTCTAGCAGCTGTTTGAATTCCATTTTCAAGATACTTGGGAAGGAAATCAGCGGTCTCAGGTCAGGTAGCCAGTACTAGCATAGATCACATTCAGTCTCCCTTTCCCATTAAAAAACATTCCACCAACTCACCACTCAAATAGCTGGTGATGATGAAAATTTTAATCCAATAATGCTTGAGGTTCTAGGTTGCAGGTGGCTATATTAAAGGATTCATACTTTTTTATATTATCCCACTCTTGCCTTATTTTAAATCAGTCTTGTGGAATGTATGCCTCTATTACCAAACTGCCATACAATCATTTTCCCATTTAAGCATATTCCTGATTAATGGATTTCAGATCAACTTACCATCCTTGCTATAATTTGCATAAACTCCTTTTGCTTTGGGCCGGCTATTTTCTAATTCAATCTCTATTTCATCTTGATAGCTTGTTATTTCACCTGCCAGAAACAGAAAAATCACTAGTGGGCAAAGGAAATTGGACATAATTGAAATGAAGGGAAAGAAAATAAACTTTAGTTATAGTCAAAGACCATCTGTCAGTTACACATAAAAAAGGACAATAAAAAGGAAAGAACTGAAAAATGAAATTCTCTGACATTAAAATCAATTTAGATTTAGCCTATTTCTTTAGCCTATTAGAAAGCATGTCTGTCTTTCTGCTGTCTGTTCATTTAAAAACCCAAAATCTATAGAAAGAACTTAAGAATCCTTCAAAGCAACTTTGGAAGATGGATCTGCTGATAACAGAAGAATGTTCTTTCCATACAATACCTACCAGGATATGTATTATTAAATATGTGCACCAGGCTATATAGCAGTACATGTGTAATTGTCTCAATTTCCCCCACCAAATAAAGGCATAAATGCTCTTGCACTGAGATGTTATTAGCTTTCCCTTCCATTAACATGGATGGCAGAACAGTTAATCTGGCCAAAGAAAGGTCTCTCCAATGAGGCAAATACAGGACATTAACTAAATAATTAGCTGGAATGAACAATCTTCCAGATAAACTAACATCATAATAGATGACAACTGTACTCAGATTTTCTGATGATTAACATTAAACATGTTTTGGTTCACTGTTATTAAAATGAGAACTGATACTGGGTTAAGAGTTTATAATACCTTGTAATACCTTTCTTCTATGGCAATAGAAAACTATAAAAAAGATCAAAACAACAAGGGATATGATAGATTTCCATTGATTAGATAAGTGATCATATAAATTTGAAAAAATTAAAAGAAATACTGACAGAATATACACTTTACCTTCTAATTCTTCAAGCTTTTTTGACAATTCCTTCTCAAGCTGGACAGGGAAAAGAGAAAAGAGATGTTAGAAATTTTTGTTCTAAGTAAATTAGGCAGTATTACCTACTGATGTTGCTGGGCCTGTGTCCTTGGGGCTTCAGCCTTCTGAGTATTTCCCTCAGCTCCAAATCTATTCCCTGGAGCCTTGAAAGTCCACTGTTGGCAATTATTTCCCCCCCTAAATTTAATTGCCAGGCAGGGGTAATTTTCAGGAGCAAGACTAGAGTTGAGAGGAGTTTGCCATTCACCTTCACTTGCCACAAATATTCAATAGAAAATGCTTTACAGATGTGGCAATTACCATAAGGTAAATACCTTTTGTATTTCTTCTCTGCTCATTTTGCAAAAATCCTTTTGAATCAGGTCCAATATCTCTGTGATGGCATTACTCTGTGTCAAAATGTATTCAACAACTTTCAGCAGGATAAAGTTCAACTAAGGTCTGACAGAGATTTTAAAAAAACCTTCTATATGTCATAAATAAAGATTAGATTTTGAACATCTATACCCAAAGTTCTATAGAAAATATTCTGGAGTGAAATTCAGTCCAGCCCCAAGATTTATTTTTTAACAGCTGTAATAACTTGTATGCAAAATTAATAATTGTTCACAAATATCTATCTCAGAAAATTGACTCAGTGACAGTCTGCATGTCTTGGCAAGCAACATTTTGGAACAAATCCAATGCAATTTGATCATAATTAATAGCAATGCTTATTTTAAACTGGACCAGTTAAAACACAGAATTTTAATGAAAGGAGAACTTGGAAGCAAGGGGAAGTTGGAACTAATTATCAAGCAAATACCTTTCCAGCTGTGGCCTTTGCTAATTGGGGTAGAAGAATGAATGTGGCATACATAAGACAAGAAAACTACATGCAATATAACAAGCTTATATGAATCATAAGAAAAATTCCAACTCTTGTAAGTCAGAATACATTTGCCAATATATTGTGCTATGGGGTGAAGCATACATTGGTTAGAATTTGTGCAGAGCAAGTAAACTCCAGTAAATCCACAGTAAACAATTGCAACAGTTTTGCAGACAGAGTGAACATTTTTTCCCAACTCAGATTAATGATCTTTAATTTCATTCAACTGTGGTCAAGAATGGAGATTTCCTGGACAAGTCCCTGCAATTTTCTTGGCAAGATTTTTCAGAAGAGGTTTGCCACTGTCTCCTTTCCTAAAACTACCAGTAAGAGAATGTAACTAGTCCCAACTCCACAAATCTGGGACCCATGACTCTCAGCCTCTATTACCCCTAACCTGAACCTGTCTATTGAGGAAGGAGCAGAACTACGGCAAAACAGTGCCTCCACTCCCCAATCCCACAAAATGATCAGGTACAGTACTATATCAACTATAGGACTATGGTCAATGTGTAAAAAAAAAAGGCACTGAGAGATCTAAGAGGACTAGGTCCAAATTAACCATTGTTGTTTCCATCCCATTCCTGATTGGAAAGGTTTTAAGTAAACTACTTCATCTAGGCCAGAGGTCTCCAACCCTTCTGGGCTCACGGCCCGGAGGGAAGGAGAGCAGCTTCCAAATTGGTGCACGCACACAAACGAGGCAAAATACCACCCCTCTCTGTAACAGCCACTGGTGCGGCACTAGCATCCTCATTCACGCATGTGGCATGTGCAAATATGGCCGCGCACACCCACCCAGCACTAGCGGCCCCATTTGCGCCTGTGTACATGTGCAAATGGGGCCTGCGGTGCTAGCGTGAGTGGGGGGGAATGCATGCCTACGCATGCGCACATCGGCCAGCCATTTCCATGGCCTGCTGGCCAAGAGCCTGTAGCCCACTCCAGGGCCATGCCCATAGGTTGGAGACCCATGATCTAGGCTACTCCATAGTTGATCCACAACTATCATTTCAACAAACTTCCCTAAAAGGGAAAGTTGGAGATCTGGTGATCTTATCTAAAATCTCCAAGTCCAGGGATGATTCCTCTAAGAGGCAAAATACCCCCCCCCCCTCTGTAACAGCCACTGGCAACTCCCCTCCCGTAAAAAGGCATGAAATCACATTATCCGTTTGACCCAAAGACCTAGAACTGACACAGTGCATACCCCTATATGTGACTGAAAACTGCCTTTCTTGTATATTCAGTACATTAGGGAAGGAACATCCAAATGGGATCAGATAAGATATTGGCAATGATACCATAATAGTGGGTTCTAATAAAGAGTCTTGTTGCCATTGTATAAACAATATCCAAGTGTAAGCTACCCTACCTCTTCTGAAGAGAGTAGCTTCCTCCACTGTGTCACACAGACACAGAAGAAAAAAAAGTAACCAGCTAACTGCTTTGAATGCCGTGTGTCTGTCTGTGTCTTTGTCTGTTTGTGTCTATTCACATTTAAAGCCAAAGTATTGGTTGAAATTCTTGTACTATTATTTACTAATCAGTGCTCAGAAATACTTGAACCTCAGTTGTTCATTTCCAGGTCTGATTGCTGCTAGAAATATCTGACAGCTGTTTTGCAAAAGTCTCAAATGCTTTAAGAGAAATTTCAGCCCCAAAAAATAATTATATTTTTAATGATCAAAATAAGTAAGAAAGAATTCAAGCAGATTCTGATATTTCTATTGTTCAGAATGTTTTTATTGAATTAGATTCTGATGCAGTGAGGGAACTGCAGCCATTATTACATAACTTACTGGTGTTACCTATGTTTATACTATATATATGGGGGGGATTCTGTCACTTCGGGCTTCAGATGTGAAAGAAGTGTAGGATAATATTACAAAGATAGCATGGCAGAGCTTTATCTCTCCTATTACAAAAGGAATTAAGAATTAGGGAAATGAACAACTGAAAGATTCACCTGCTGAATCTTTATCTTTCGTTGGCCAGCTGTAAATGAAGGAGGATCACATTCCTCTTCCAGGTCAATGGTCATGAACTCATCTATTGTTAGCTGACTTGCAGGTGTATCTTCAAATTCTGTAAGTCTAAAAGCATACATTAAAAGATTAATGGATGACTGTCACAATATACAAGCCAAAATTTACATACAAATTTTTTCATAAGTAAACTATATATCTCTGTAGTCTTGGTGCTCTCTGAGCTTGTTTACTTGCAGACATTTCATTTCATTTCTGTATTCCATTCCAGCAAAACCAATGACAAATATGTAAGACAGGCAAGCAAAATCTTCTTCCATTAGAAGTGTATATCAAAATGCAGGAACAAACTGCACATTTTTCAAAATGTAAACATCTTATCATTAAGCCAGTTTTACTTAAGAAATCATTATAACCTACTTTTGCAAGCAAGTTTAACATGTTAAGATGTCTAAGCCTGAAATGACAGTTAGTCTTCAGACTTTAAATCTTTTCTGAGTCTGAAGAACTCTGGTAGTATCTTTTTCAAATAACTAATTTTATTTAAAGACATAAGCTCCACACCACACTTCATCAGATCCACAGAGTGGCTAGACAGATTTAAATTAGGATGAGGTGGGGAAGGATAGGACTGTTGCTTATGCAGATGCAGATTACATTCAAGACAGATTATAATAAAACTATCATCTAACAACTAATATGTCAAAAACTCATTATGTTAATTAACACTTTCTGAGATTGCCTGAAACTGATATATAGGAATCCAGAAATCTCTTATTTAATGCTGCTGTTAAAATCTCTTTTTTCCAAAACAGTCATTGAGAGTTCTGCCATTGGAAGTCCTCAGAAGCTGAAATGTTTGTTCTTTCTAAGAGAATTTAACCATTAGCCTATCAATTTGTCTAAAATATTTATGTTGAACCAACATAAGCATTATTTTAAAAATATGTATCCATCTTGATGGAAAGGTTCATTTTCACAACACTCATTATTCTGTATAAACAGAGGTATTTCTTATTGTTCTCTTTAATATGTTTCATCTGGATAAAGTATTTTTAAATGTTCTTACTTACTAAAGTAAATATTTTCCTGGGGATAATAATCCCCATGTATTTAATAGCTTCTGGACATAATACCTATTTTTTTTCCTGCAACCACTGGAATATTCCCACTAATTGGTATAATACAGGTTTTACATTATAAATATATATAGCCTTCGACATGGTAATAATACTTATATAGCTGTTATTATACACACACACATGCAAACACATACATTTACATATATAAATAATACTAAAAACTAGTGTTTTGTTGAGAAATGTTAACTACAATTTTAATGATGTTAATTATTGTGTGTGTATCCTTTTTTGTTTCTCTAAAAGAAGAGAGTAGAGTTAAAATAAACATAGAAATACAGGCTATAAAGATATTAAAAATGATTCAAAAGAAAAGAGGATTAGAGGGAAAAAGAAGATTAGATGTCTTGGAATATAATAAAATTGCCTTCAAGTAGATATGTATTCGACAGAAATTTTAGCATGGCAATAAGGCATATGACTTATTAGCAAATAAATTAAAAAAGAAAGCTCCTCAGATTAAAATAACCCAGTTAAAGTATATTCAGAGAGAAATGTTAAAATAACTAAACAAATAAATGAAGCATACAGCTTTATGCTAACTGTATTCATCAGAGCATGTACGCTTAAATAAAATAAATTTTCTACACTCAATTACCATCACTCCTAGAGAAGAAGTTCATATAAAATATTGCAACCAACTATCTTCCAAAGAAATAGAACAAGTAATTAAATAAAATTGATAGTATTACTGTAACTGTTTATAAAAATATTTCAAAAATAATTGCCCTTTATTTTCATTCATTTGTTTGACTGAGTACTACAGGATAACCCCATCTCCGATTCATGTTATCAAGTCTGGTTAGTCATGATACCAAAAAGAACAAAGACAGAGAGCTGAATCCTATCAACCAACTGAAATTTGAATAAAATCAAAAGATTTTTATAATTTATTTGGCCAAAAGATTAAGCAAGTTTATACAAATTTGGAATAAGATAGATATATTAAGACAGATAGCAGATTCTATTAGAATTTTAAATTGTATTTTTAATGAGAAATGCATCAAAAATCCACTAGTCATTTTAACTTTAAATATTAAAAGTTTTTGACCAACTATAATGGCTCTATCTATTTCAACTTGTATATTAATATCAAATGGGAAAACTTAATCTCATTCAGCAGTTACATAGTAAAATCTCTAGTTTAGATTTAGATAATTTTTTTGCAATTCAGAGTATTTTACAATATGAGAGGTAGATTAGCACTTTTTTTACATGGAACCTTGTAGGGTAGACAAGGCAGGTTGTATGACATGTATGAGTTCCGGCACCTTTTTTTTTTTTTTTTTACAAAAAAAGTACTGGTTAAAATACTTAAGCATTGCAAGTAATTACATAAAGGGGAATTAAAATGCCCTTTAAATTAAATAGATGAAATAAACTGAGTTACATCTTGTAATGTAAAGTTATATCTTGTTGTGTTCTCAATATGAAGTTGAGATCAATTTTTATTTCTGGGACATATTGCTGATATCAAGATGTCTTTATTACCTAAGTTTTTGTATCTGTTTTATCTATCTTCATCCACAATTGCTTCATAGCTTGGGACCAGCTCAAGAGAAGGCCATTTCCCATATGTTATATAGACCTGCGCCCCACAACCTTTTGGGTACAAGGGACCAGTTCCATGGAGAAAGGTTTTTCCACAGACTGGAGAGGACATGGTGTTGTATGCTACCTGCATCCTGCTTATGGGGCTTCGCTTGTTTACATGGCCCAGTTTCTGGCATGCCATGGACCGGTGCCAGACCGAGGGTTGGGGACCCCTGATATAGACCCTTTTCATATAGATGGGAGGAAATTTCAGGAAAAAATCTGTCCTGTAGATTCTAATTCCCAAATAAATTTGTAATATTAGAAATGCAAGCCATGTAGGGCATTAAACATTAAGCCAATGTCTTATACAGTGCTTTGTGAGCAACTGGCAATCAGGCAGATGCTATCTGATTTCTCTATGTGATATAATTAACTGCACTTCTGGATACTTTTTAAGAGTAAATCCATTTTAATTTGGAGGGTGCAGCACACATATTTGGTTATATGACCGAACGTTCACTGATACAATGTTAGATACAGCCTACACAACAATAGTCAACATTGATACTATTTTGTAGATCTTCTTATGTACAATAAGCATGTCTCATCTACTTCTGCTTAAGGTGCAAGGAACAGTGTGCTAATCTGTTAATCTATGCTGCTCCTCGTACTGCATCATAAAGTGTTTCTCAAAAACTAATTAAATAATTAATGAAAAATTAAAATAAACTAATAGCAGCTATAAATTTAAACAATATAAAACATATTAACAAAAAGGAAACCAACATTATATTGTGCATCGAAAATTCATATAAATAAGATGTGATGGGACAGATAGACAGTCCAAGCAGGTTCCTAAAGGATCTAATACTAGGCATTTCAGAAACTTCAGAAAAGAGACCACTTCAGAGGAAGTACCATACTTTCCAGCATATAAGACGACTTTTGCAAGCATTAAAATTGGCGCCGAAGTCGGGGGTCGTCTTATACGCTGAGTCGTCTTATACACTGGAAATAACGGTAGTTTCCGACGTATAAGACAACTTTCTAGGCATGCGACTCGGCACCGAAGATAGGGGTTGTCTTATACGTCGGGTCGCCTTATACGCTGGAATATACGGTACCCCAAAAAGACATCCAGTGAGTAGCTACATAGATTTTGCTAATCTTGGCACACACAGGTGGACATTTTGAAGACTTTGGTAAACATATATATCTGCCATTGCAAGGGTGATATCTTCTCTTAGGACCTTACATGTCAAAAAGTAAAATGGATAAGGCATAAAAAGATTGAACAACTAAAAAGACCTCCATCAATAATTTTAACAAGTGGGCAGCTTTTGCTGAGAAGACAATGGCTTTCAATGCAATAATGCAATAAGCATGCTCTTTATTTTGAATCCAAGGATGGTTGATCCCCATTTATGGAAGAAGAACATGTCCCTATAGGACATGAAAGAATATATGTTCTGCATCTATCAGATTTTTTTATTAAAAAGGCAGATGTCCTCACCATGCAAAACCATGATTTGTACTGTTCATAATAAATTTGATCATAATAAATATTCATTGCTACATGCCATGAGGAAGAAATTCTTGGAGACCCATTTCTTCCTTTCTTATTTATACATCAATGTAGTCATTTGGCAAAAAAATGAAGCAACAGAATCAGATGAAATATAATGACTTTGTGACTCTAAAAGGCAAAAGTAATGTGGACTATTGCCTAAAAGGAATGAGCATGAAAATACTGAGTATTGCCTGAAATATTTATTATCAAATAGCACTTACTCTAAAGAAAGAGACTTTTTCTCATGTCTTACTGGAAGAAAATTAAGATGGTACCTAAATTGGATCATTGTCCATCACAATGGCAAAAAGTGTACAATTCACCCAGTGATACAATTTCATCATTTTACATATTTCAGGACACTACTTAATTTAGAAAAAAAATTGGTCTGTATCCAATGAAATTCATAGCCAGATACCAAATAAAGCTACATTATTTCCATTCATAACCAACATTCTTTTTTTTTATAAAGTCACAAATTCCAATGTAAGGGATCTGCTTGACAGCTGATTTAAAATCTATCATAATTGACACATATCTACTAACCACCAATATTGTATGATTTTTTTCTCCCAGAGATATATAATATAACCTTATCTTGTTTAATACAAAGCTCATGATGAATTTCAAATCTTGGCACACTACACAATAAAAAACTGAACAACACGCTTTTCCACCCTTGAAAGCATCTTTTGTTATTTTGCAGAAGGCTTGCTAGGATCTGTAATTTACATGAACTCATTTACCTCTTCACAGACCTACAGCTGAAGCAATTATCATTTTATATAAATGCATTATGCATTCTCCAGTGACTACCAATGCAGGCTAAAGATGTGTATAACTTATAAAGTAATACTAGAGGT